AGTCCTGGTCCAGCAGCATGGGGCAGGCCAGCCATGGTTTGTCACCAGGCTCTTGGCCCAGAGAGCTGCCCAGTTCTGGCTCTGCCCATGATGTCACAGCGGGATGGGGCCTCTCCTTGCACCCGAGGGGCTGCTCCACAGGCAGGTTTGTGGCACCATGGCCTCGCTGGGCTGCCCACAGGCATGGCCAGCCCGCCACCCTCCCAGCACTGTTCCCTCTCTCTGCAGAGCTCCAAGGCCGTGCAGGGGCTGACCGGCCTGCGGAACCTCGGCAACACGGTGAGTGTGTCCCCAGGCCTGTAGCTCACACCGGGCACATCTGTGGGGCAGGGGGAGCCCTGTCCCTTCACCTCACCCCCAAAACCCCACCCTCACCCTGGCAGCTCCCTGCACCCCTCTTCCCACGGCGCTTCCCCTGTCCTGTGCCCAGCCCAGGTGTCCCCCTGCCATGGCCTGCCTCCCTCTGCTTCTCGTTGCCATGGTTTTCTCTTCTGCCTCCCCCAGTGCTTCATGAACTCCATCCTGCAGTGCCTGAGCAACACCAAGGAGCTGCGGGATTACTGCCTGCAGAACCAGTACCTGCGGGACCTCAACAACAACAGCCGCATGCGCACGGCGCTCATGTCAGGTAACTGCCCAGCCCTGGTGGCTGCGGGGGCTTCCCTGCAGCAATTCCTGCAGCAATTCCTGCAGCACATCCCCGCCGCACCCCACATTCTGCGGGACCCCCATCCAGAGCTCCACGCTCCTTCTTGGGCTGCCCAGCCAGCGGAGGATCGGGCTGTGAGACCCCTGAGCTGTCCCCATGGGGTCATGGCCGTGCCACCTCCTCTGCTGACCCCACCTCTCTGCCTGCAGAGTTTGCAAAGCTGATTCAGCTGCTCTGGACCTCGTCCCCCAACGAGAGCGTGAGCCCCTCCGAGTTCAAGACACAGATCCAGAGATACGCCCCACGCTTCGTCGGCTACAAGTAAGGGGGGGTGGCTGCAGGGTGATGGGGGCAGCTGAGCCCCCTGCAGCCTCTCACTGGCCATGCCCTGTGTCTTGCAGCCAGCAGGATGCACAGGAATTCCTGCGGTTCCTGCTGGACGGGCTGCACAGCGAGGTGAACCGCGTGCTGGTGCGGCCCCGGGCCAGCACCGACACCCTGGATCACCTCCCGTAAGTTCTGGCACTGCACAAGCCCCAGGAGAGTTCACTGCCCGCAAGGCCAGCCCGGGGACAGTGACCTCACAGGTCCCTCTGGGCTGGGTGGCGGGGCTGGTGTCCCCCAGGCCATGCTCAGTGCCCCGCTGTGTCCCCATCCTTGCAGTGACGATGAGAAGAGCCGGCAGATGTGGAGGAGGTACCAGGAGAGGGAGGACAGCCGCATCAGCGGTGAGCAGGGCTGGGGAAGGGAGGACAGGGCTGGGCTGGGAGTGAGGGGGAACCAGGGCTCTCACCCTGCTCTGTCCCACCCCACCAGACCTCTTCGTTGGGCAGCTGAAGAGCTCTCTGACCTGCAGCGAGTGCGGCTACTGCTCCACAGCCTTCGACCCCTTCTGGGACCTGTCCCTGCCCATCCCCAAGGTGAGGGGGAGCCCAGTGATCCCTGTTTCCCACTGCCTGTCCCACACTGCCTGTCCCTAACCATCACTGCACTCCCACAGAAAGGCTACGGGGAGGTGACACTCATGGATTGCCTCCGGCTCTTCACCAAAGAGGACGTGCTGGATGGGGACGAGAAACCGGTACAGGGCAGGGGGGCTCCCTGGGGCAGGCTGGGCCCCTTCCCCTCTGTGTTTGTGTTGCCAGCACTGTGGGCAGTGCCCTCACCCTCCTGCTCGTGCTGTTTTCTCCCACAGACGTGTTGTCGCTGCAAAACCAGGACAAGGTGCACAAAAAAATTCAGCATCCAGAAGTTCCCCAAGATCCTGGTGCTTCGTATCCTTTGGGCAGAGGGTGGGGACAGGGGCTGTTGTAGGGGGCAGAGATGGGTTATTGCAGGCTCCCCTTTGTCCCTTTGGCTCCTTGACATGACCCTCCAGACCTGAAGCGCTTCTCCGAGTCCAGGATACGAAGCAGCAAACTCACCACCTTTGTCAACTTCCCGCTGAAGGACCTGGACCTGAGGGAATTCGCCTCGCAGAGCTGCAGTGAGTCCCAGCCCCTGCTTGTCTCTAACCCCAACCCTGAGCTCCTGGGGACTCCTGGGCTCCTCGTGTCCCCAGCTGGTGGGGGACAGAGAGGGATGAGGGGTGGGAAGCACAGGATCCCGGCTGCTGGAGCTGCTGGCATGGTGGGGACAGAGGGGTGAGGGGTGGGAGACATGGAATCAAGGCTGCTGGAGCTGCTGGCATGGTGGGGGGCTCTGTGCTGTCACTTTGTGGGGCAGCAGGGCTGAGCAGCCCCCCTGCTCCCCACAGACCACGCCGTTTACAACCTCTACGCCGTCTCCAACCACTCGGGCACCACCATGGGGGGACACTACACAGCCTACTGCAAGAGCCCCGTGTCCAGCGAGTGGCACACCTTCAACGACTCCCGGTGAGCCTGGGGTGGGACAGGCGAGCAGGGACCCCCCTGCCCAGGGCATCCCATCCCTGCTGCTCACAGCTGTCCCCTTGCCCTCTCTGCAGCGTCACCCCGATGTCCTCGAGCCACGTGCGCAGCAGCGATGCCTACCTGCTCTTCTACGAGCTGGCCAGCCCGTCCTCCCGCATGTAGCCAGCCCTGCCTCCCTGGGGGAGCCCTGGGCCACCCCTCAGAGCCGGCTCCACCAGGGTTCGGGCGTTTGGCACCCCCAGAGCGAGGGGGAGGCAAAGAGGAGACACCCCCGAGGTGGCTGCAGAGGGAGGCTGGGGACAGCCAGGAGCAGAGCCCGGGCAAGGACATCCCAGCTCCGAACTGAGGAGGGACTCGTGACAGGACGGGGCTCAGGCAGCTCCAGCTCAGGCACCTTCTGATTGCTGGCATTTGGTTTTTACCTCGGGGTTTTAGTTTCTTTTCTTTTTCCTTTTTTTTTCCCCTCTTTTTTTTTCTCTTTTTTCTTTTTTTTTTTTTTCTTTCTTTTTCTTTCTCTCTTTTTTTTTTTTTTTTTTTTTTTTTTTTTTTTTTTTTTGGTGTGTAATAAAAATCCTGAGCAAGGGACTCTACAGGAATGGGGCCACCTGTCCCATTGACTCAACCAGGACCTCTTCTCCCCTGGGACAGCACCCAGGAGAGCCTCACACATCCCTCCTGACCTCTTGCCACTCCTGTATCTGCTTGGCCGTCCCAGAGGATTCGTGAACTGCTCCCGATCTCCTCCCGGCACTTCCAAACCTCCTGGCAAAGGACTCCAGCCCTCTGGTGGCCTCCGCCCCATCTCAGGCAGCACAACCCCTGCAGCTGCCCCACACACACTCCTCAAAGCAGCCTGAGCCCAGACCCACGGACAGGAGGGAGGAGAACATTTTGTGGAATTTCTATGTATTTATAATGGACTTTGCTTCAACCTGGAGCCCCCCGCTGCTTCCTGCCTCTCCAGGGACTTGTGCCGGGGCTGCTCCGGGTAGGTTTTTACCTGCCTCCTCAAACGACGGTGCCTTAAACCATTTAGGGGAGAGGGGGGGCCGCGGGGGTCGCACGGAGAGGGAGGGGAGGACGGTGGCTTTCCGGGACCATCTGCAATCGGGGCTTTTTTTTCTCCCTGTGATCAGGAGCCCTCCTGGGTGCCCGGGGACCCGCCCTGCTGCTCTGTCCTCCAGCTAGCAAATGCCAGTGGCCTTTTTAGCCTTTAATTTATTCTCCTCCCCGTCCTGCCTTGCCTGAGGTGCAGCGGGAGGAGACACGGGCACCATCCCAGCCCTCGGGGCAGCTCCATCCAACCCACAGCCGGCCCTGCGGGCACGGGCTGAGCGCTGGCACCAGCATCCTGCCCAGCCTGGGGCATCCCAGCGGGGCTCGGGGGGGGCAGGATGGGAACGGGGGGCTGCCCGCGGCAGGAGCTGGGCTGGGGCAGCGATGCTGCTTGGCAGGTGGCTTGTTTACTGTGTAAGCAAGACGGGTGGGAAGTGTCTCATACAAGGGAGACTCGTGCAGGAATAAATTTGAGCTTGAACAGGGCGTTGGGTGCGTGTGTTTTGTCTCCGGGTGCTCTGGCAGAGGGTGGGCAGCCGCCACTGCTGGAGCCCCAGGAGCACCCATGGAGCAGAACCACTCTGGGCTCGCCTGCAGCACGGGAGATGTGGCTGCAGGTGGCAGAAGGAGCCTCTTCAACCCCACGGAGCTCCCCGGCGCCCACACTCGTCCCTCAAAAGCCCTGAACAATGGCTCCTTTCTCCCCTACTTAGGGACGGAGACGGGCATTAAGGGGCAGCAGGAATGCAGGTGGCAGGGCCCAGGCACCCAGCGAGGGCAGGAGGGACACGCTCAGCCCGGGGTCCCCAGCACGGCCCTTTCAGCGCTGCCCTGAGCAGAGAGGAGCTGCGGGCAGCTGCAAAGCCCAGGCGCCGTGTGGGGACCCCAGCAGCGGGGTCCCTGGGGATGGGCTCCCGGCAGGACGGGTGCGAGCACTCGTTTCCCTTTAAGACGCTGTTTCTCCGTGCCAGAGCCTGACCTCGGCATCCTCAGCTGAGCTGGATTAACGGGGCGAGGGGGAAGGGGCCTGCGGAGGGGACTGGGGCTGCCGCCGCCTCCCGGGGCTCCCCGCACTCCCGGCACGGCGGGCATGGCCCTCGGGTGGGCTCCGGCGCTGGGCTGCCGCCTGTAGAGCTGGCACTGCCACCTCCTCGGGTGGGCTCCGGCACTGGGCTGCCGCCTGTAGAGCTGGCACTGCCACCTCCTCGGGTGGGCTCCGGCACTGGGCTGCCGCCTGTAGAGCTGGCACTGCCACCTCCCCGCCCCACAGCGTGGAGCAGGGGTCCTCACGCCGCCCCGGGGCCCATGGGGACAGCTGGGGAGGAGCGGGCGGTGGGGCTGGGGGGCACAGGGCGCTGGGCAGGATTTTAGCCAGGCTGCTCCAGGAACCGCCCGCTGCCATGAAAGACTTCACCGAAATCACGCTTTGCCCCGAGGCTCTGGACGGCAGCAAGGTAGGGCTGGGGGTGTGGGTGCCGCTGATGGTCCCCTCGTGTCCCCCCGCGGGTCCCCAGGGTGCCACCCGCTCTCGCTGTCTCACAGACCGAATTCTGCAACCCCGTTTTTGAGGGCGAGGAGCCCCGGGCGGCACCGAGCGCGGAGCACCCGCCAGACAAGGATGGGACCGGCCCCGCACGGCGCCGGGACGGCCTCGGTACCAGCCTGGGGGTTTGTACACGGCCCCTGCCCATGGGGCTGCAGGAGCGGGGCTCTGGGGCTGCTTGGGGACACATCGGGGACGCGCCCAGCAAGGGCTGAGCCACCCTCGGTACCAGCCTGGGGGTTTGTACACGGCCCCGGCCCATGGGGCTGCAGGAGTGGGGTGCTGGGGCTATTTGGGGGCACCTCGGGGACGTGCCCAGCGAGGGCTGAGCCAGCCCTGTAGGGATGTGGGGAATGGTTTAGCAGCGCTCTGCCCGCTGTTCTCGCCTCCAGGCCAGCAGCTCTGGGCACAGGTGGGCTGGAGGTACCGCGCCGACTGCAAGTTCACCTGGCTCTGCGTGGCTCTGATGAGCACCATCCTGCTCTTCCTCATCGCCCTCCTGCTCGGCATCGTCATCCACCGTGAGTGCCGAGCCGGGAGGTGGCTGTGGCCGGGGTGGGGGACACAGAACCGGCTCAGAGGGGGAGAGGGGCACCCAGAGCACGCCCCGGGTCTGCCCGCAGTGGGGAGAGGGTGGGATCTCCGTGTCCCCGGGATGTGTCCCATCGGTGTGAGATGCCCGGGGAGCTGCACACCTGTGGGTAGGGTGGGAGCACAGCGCTGGGAGGGCTTCCTGAGCCCTTTCCCTGCACCGCAGCCGTCCCTCCCCGCTGGGGCTGAGCAATCCCCGCTCTTCCCTGGCCACAGAGCTGACGTCCCCACACCCACCCGGTGCCCCAGCCACGGCCCTGCCCGCCCGTGGCACTGCCACCACCGCCACAGCGCCCATCCGAAGGGACCCCCCGGCCCCCAAAACCGCTGCCACCCCAACCGAGAGCCGGCTGCCCACGGCCCGCACAGCAGCACCGGGTAAGCGCCGAGCGGGGCAGCGTTTTGGGATGGGGCTGCCCTGCTCCAGCTCATGCCCACGCTGTTGCCTCGTTCAGCCTGCGGAGGGACCCTGCGCGGCCCCGAGGGCTCCTTCAGCTCCCCCAACTACCCCGGCCCCTACCCCCCCAACGCCCTCTGCATCTGGCACATCGAGGTGGGCGCCGGCCTCGCCATCCAGCTGAGGATGGAGACGTTCAGCGTGGAGGGCACGGCCTCCTGCCTCTTCGACCGCCTGGAGCTCTACGAAGAGCAGGGCACGGCTGGCACTGCCCCTGCTCCGGCCCGGGGGAGCCCGACCAGGTAGGGCTCCTCACACCTGTGGAGCGTGGCAGTGTGGGGGCAGAGAGCGGTGCCAGCCCTTGCTGTGCCCCCAGGTTTTGTGGCAACGTGCCCCCCCCGACCTTCAACTCCAACTCGAACCGCCTGCGGGTCACCTTCGTGTCTGACAGCAGCGTGGGCGCCCAGGGCTTCAGCGCCCGCTACCGAGCCGTGCTCCCTGCAGAGAGTGAGTGCCCCGGCCCATGGCACTGCCAGGGTCCCTCCCTGCTGGCAGGGAATGGGGAGAGCCAGCACAGGGAGGGGAGGGTGCCCGGCGGAACCCCCCTCCAGCGAGGGTGTCTGTGCTGCGTGCAGAGAGCTGCGCCTGGGACGAGCACCTGTGCGACCGGGGGCTCTGCCTCCAGCTGGGCTTCCTGTGCGACGGCTTCCACGACTGCACGGACGGGAGCGACGAGGCCAACTGCAGCCTGAAACACAAAGGTGAGAGGGACAGACCCCCACCCGCAGCTCCCAGACCCCACCCACCCGCAGCTCCCAGACCCCACCCACCCGCAGCCCCCAGACCCCCACCCGCAATCCCCAGACCCCCCCCACCCGTAGCCCCCAGACCCCCACCTGCAACCCCCAGACCCCCACCCGCAGCCCCCAGACCCCCACCCACAGCCCCCGGCCCCCGCGGCGCCAGGGATGGGTGGGAGAGGGAGATGGAAGGAAGGGAGAGGGGCAGGGGGAAATCTCCTCGTGTGTGTGCGTGTGTCCCTCCAGAATGTGGGGGGCCGCTGACGGCCTTGGAGGGGCACCTGTCCACCCCGAACCACCCGCAGCCATACCCACACCAGCAGGTGAGAGAAGGGGCGCTGTGGGAGCGCGGTGAGGGTGAGGCTGGGCAGGGAGGAAAGGGAGGAAGGCAGCCCCGGCCCTAGGGAGAGCTGGGGGTGCCCCTGCCCAGCTTCACGGGTGTTGCCGGCTGCCCCCCCGCCCCGCAGCTGTGCCTCTGGCAGATCTCGGTGCCCCTGGGCCACGTCATCGACCTGCACTTCCACAACTTCAGCCTGGAGTCGCACGAGGACTGCAGCTTCGACTTCGTGGAGGTGCACGACAGCGCGGGCACGGGCACTGCCAGCCTCATGGGCAGGTACCCGACACCCCCAGTCCTGCTGTGCCACCCTGATGACACTGGGGCCGTGCCTCACCCGGGGAAACTGAGGCACGGGGCTGGCTGGTGGGGAGGAGCCGCCGGAAGGCAGGGGCTGGGGAGGTGCTGGTCAGCCCCCTGAGCCCATCTCTTGTCCTGTGACCTCACAGGTTCTGTGGCCACCAGCTGCCACCCGCCCTGACCTCTTCACGGCACGTCATGACCGTGCTCTTCGTGGCAGACGAGGGAGTTGCAGATGAGGGGTTCTTTGCCACCTACCAAGCCCGCAATGCCACAGAGAGTAGGTGGCCAAGTGGGGGCAGAGGCTGCTCAGGGTGGGTGATGCCACCTCCATCTTTGGAGGGCTTCAAGGCCAGGCTGGATAAAAACCTGGGAAAAACAGCTCTTGTACCACAGCTGGCCCTGCTTGGAGCAAAGGGCCCCCAGGGCCCCCTTCTCACCTGGTTTCTCACCTGGTTTATCCTATAACATCACAGCCGTGGGGATGGCACCTGGAAGGGCTCACCTGCACAGAGGTGTGATCCATGACCCCAGGGCTGCCCCCAAATATCCCAGGGAATTTGGGATCTCCCTAAGCTGGATCTGCCAGATCCCCTGGCCAGTGAGCAAGACAGGGGTGGTCAGACTGGCTCCCAGCCCTGCCCTGCCCTCTCCCCTTGCAGAGACCTGCAGCCCCGCAGAGTTTTCCTGTGGGAATGGCGAGTGCCGGGCGCTGGAGTCTGTGTGTGACGGCTGGCACGACTGCCCCGATGGCACCGACGAGCTGAACTGCACCGGGGTGTCCTACCCGGCCTTCGGTGAGTGCCAGCACCCCTGGGAGCCCCGCTCAGCACCCAGCCCGCCCTGAGCCCAGCTGGCACAGCCGGTGGGCAGCCCTGCCTCTGGCACAACCCCTCTCCCTGCGGCAGGGTCTGTCTGCGAGCCCGTGGAGGTGGAGATGTGCCTGGGGCTGGGCTACAACGCCACCTCCTTCCCCAACATCTGGCTGGCCATCCCGGACCAGGAGGGAGCCGCCGAGGTGCTGCAGGACTACCAGGTGAGCTGGCCGGGGGCTGTCCCCACGCTGCCGCGCTCCGCAGCTGTGAGAGCTGCCCTCCCCTGGTGCGCCGGCCTCACACCACTGTCCCCGCTGTCCCCGCTGTCCCGCAGACGCTGATGGAGCTGGCGTGTTATCAGCACCTCCGCCTGCTCATCTGCAGCCTCTTCGTGCCCAAGTGCACCCCAGACGGGGGCGTGCTGCAGCCCTGCCGCGCCGTGTGCCTGGCGGCGGAGCTGCGCTGCCAGCAGTCCCTCGGCCTCCTCGGCATCCTCTGGCCCATCAACTGCAACATCCTGCCCGACTCCAGCGACCCCGTGGAGTGCTTCCAGCCCTGAGCCGGCCGGAGGAGAGCAGCAGGGGTTGAAGCCACCCTCCCCACCCCAAGTGTCCCTCCTGGGCTCTTCCTGAGTAAATACCCAGCTGTTGGGTGGCCCCTCAGCTGCTCTGGGCTCAGCTCCTGTGCCCAGTGCTTGGCTTGGTGCCTGGATGCCACAGGCTTGCCCACAGCTCCATCTCCCTATCATATCCCATAGGGAAAGGCTTGTGCTGGAGGGGCAGGAGGGAAAGGGTTAATGCTCCCCAAACGGAGCAAGGCTGGGCAGAGGTGAGCCAGGCTGCAGGGACAGGAGCCCAGGGCTGCCCGTGTCCCACAGCCCCAAAGCCAGCAGAATAAAACAGCCTGAGCAGCTGACAACCCCAAAGCAGCAGGTGACTCATTTGGGGTCTGCGTGTGGGTGCTGCCAGATCCTGGGGAAACTGAGGAATGGCTGGAGGGAGGGAAGCCAGGATGGGGTGGGGGATCTGAGCAGGGATGGAGGGGCACAGGGGACACTGCAGGGGACAGTGGGCAGCTGGCTGTGCCCTCACTGGGCTGGGGGCCTGCAGGGTCCCAGGGAGATGGATGGGCCTCAGAGGGGTCCACTTGGTGGCCCCATGGTGCAGGGAAGGGATCCTGTGCCATCAAGAGTGGTGGCCTTGCTGGCTGTGCTGGCTGTGCTGGCTGAAGGCCACCCTGGTGGCCACAAGCCTGGCAACACCCATGGCCACAAACCAGCGTCCAGCTGGCCAAAAACAACAATCCCTTCACACCTTGGGGGAGAGGAGAGAGGTGGCTCCCTGCCACCAGCCAGCCTGCCCGTGGGTGTCCGGGCCTGGAAGGAACACTTGGCAACGTCCCCAGCTCCACTGCAGGCTCTGGCACGGGGAGGAGAGAGCCAGCAATGCCATCGTGTTTCCCACTGCCCTGAGCACGTGGAGAAATCCCCAGCCTGGCTGGGGTCACCGGGCTCAGGACCCACTTGTGCCAGTACCGCTCTGCCCCTGTGCCCAGCACGGACCTGGCGCTCCCACCCAGCCCGGGGGGTTTGAGCCCACCCAGCTCCTTCTGTCCCTGCATGTCCCAGCTGCTGCTGGGCACAGGGACGTCCCCAGCCGCAGGCCCGCCCCTGTGGCCAGCGTGTGACCGTGTCCCTTGGACGCACCCGGCGCTGGAACGAGTTAAAGGCAGGCTGGGAGCGCCTCGAAAGCTTCGCCGCGCGCTCGGCGGTCCCTGGGGCCGGCCCTGCCTCCTGGCACGGGCACAGACGGCTCTGCCTGCCCTTCCACCTGCCCTGCACGCTCAGCCCAACGTGCTGGGACTGCCCAGATGGATCCTGCAGCTTCCCCTGCGTGCTCCCAGGGCTGGCACTACCGGGCACGGTGTGTTCTGCCATGCCTTGGCCTCAGCTCTGCTGCCAGTCAGGGCACCCACACACCCTGAGAGCTCCCTCTTCTTTCTGCCACCCCATCTCTCTCTGCCTCGCTGGATTTCCCCCCTTCAGCTTTTATCTTGTTTCCTTTCCCTCTGCTGCCTGTTTTCCTTGTTTTCCCCCCCTCCACCCGGCTGCCCAGCCGTGTCCAGCTGAGGTGGTGCCCAGCCTGTGCCTCCTCTCCCTCAGCCGGGCTGTTTGCAGCGCTCTCCCTTCCCCCTGCTTACAGCACTTCCGACATCACGGGATTATTTTTCTTTTTCCCCTTGTCTTGTAGCTTTTGGCTCCCAAGGCCCTTGATTTCCTTTGGAGTTTGGGAGGAGAGACGTGGGGAGGAGGGGGGGGGGGGGAGAGGCTGCCTCTCTTAGGGCCTTCGTCAGAGCCAAGTGGCCAGGAAGAGCCTCAGCCCTTCCACAGCGGTGAGCAGCGAGGTGAGGTCCTGGACTGGAGCCGCGGGATCGCAGTGAGTGGGGACACCCAGCCGGGGGCAGCTGGGACTCCCTGCCTTCCTGCCTCCGGCGCCTGGGCGGAGGAGAGACACTTTTCTCCTCCTTTTCTCCTCCTTTTCCTCTTTGTTGCCGTCGTGGAGGGGGAAGAGAGCAGCTTTTCTGGGTCAAGGCCACGGGGATGGGGCCAGCTCTGGCCCTGGGGCTCAGCCCTCGTCGTGCTGCTGTGGGAAGGGCTGGGGGCAGCCCGGGCAGGGGGGTGGTCCCGGTAGGAGGGTGGGCCCGGGGATGCTGCAGCCGGCCGGGGGTGGAGCAGAGCCGCCGGCAGCCGGGATGGTGCCAAGGGCAGGGCCAGACACGGCCCCGCGTTCCCCGAGCTGCCGCCCCACCTCACACCCCTCCCGAGGCAAGAACCCCGCCCCAGGCACGCTCACAGCTCTCCAGATGCCAGCCCTAAATCCCCCTGCCCGCTGCCCCATAGCTGGGCATGATGGGGCAGTGCCCACCCCAAAGAGCCCCCAGCCACACCCACAAAGGCTCTGCCACAGCCCTGGCCCTAAATCCACACCCCACACACGTCCTGAGCTGCCCCGGGGCTGCAGGAGGCTGTGGTGGCACACGGGCCACGGGGATGCTGTGGTGGCACACGGGCCATGGGGATGCTGTGGTGGCACACGTGGGGATGCTGTGGTGGCACATGTGGGGATGCTGTGGTGACACATGTGGGGATGCTGTGGTGGCACACGTGGGGATGCTGTGGTGGCACACAGGCCACAGGGATGCTGTGGTGGCACACAAGCCACAGGGATGCTGTGGTGGGACACATGGGGATGCTGTGGCAGGTGCAGGCAGCACTGGGGCCTTGCTGAAGGGAGCAGCCCAAAAGGTAATGGGGAAAAAGGGGGGGAATGTCCCCTGCTGACCCCCCTACATTCCCCACCAAGCAGTCCCAACCCTCCTCCCTGTGGTCCCCAGAGCTGTGATCCTTCTCTGCCCCCCTCCAGGACAAGATGAAGCAGCTCTTCCTCCTCTTCCTCCTCGGGCTCATCAGCAGGTCCTTGCAGATCGAAGACAACAAGATCCCTGGGCTGTGCTCAGGGCAGCCGGGCATCCCAGGGACCCCGGGCCTGCACGGGGAGCAGGGTTTGCCAGGCAGAGACGGACGAGACGGCCGGGATGGAGCCATGGGCATGCCAGGGGAGAAGGGTGACATGGGCCCTCCTGGTAAGAAAGGAGAGCTCCCATCTGGGGAGGGGGATTTGCCATTCCCTGCCCGTGGGGAACACCCCATGCCAGGGAGTAAGTGCTGCATGCTGGCACAAATGGCCAAATGGAGAATGAACCCTGCAGAAGCGCCCCTGCCATGCCACCACCACCCCTTGGCCCTGCCTGTGGTGCCCCTGTGTTCTGTAAAACCAGCAGCTCCTTGTCACTGGGGAAGCTGCATTTGTCCCCATCCCCAATGCCGCCCCTCTCTCCCAGCCCTGCTTTAGGAGGGACCACCATCATCCCTGCCCTGGCTCCTGGGCTGGGCTTTCCCCCAACCTCTGAGGGTTTCTCCAACGATTTGTTGATGCTGAGTTAATCAACGCACCCAGCCCTCCCCGCTCGCGCTGCTCCCCCATGCGGTGCCCTGCTGTGGCAGGGAATTGCTATAACTGGGACTGGGCAGGAGGGATGGAGGAGCTGTGCTGGTGACTCCGGGGTGACCCTGTCCCCCTCTGCCTGCCCCAGGAGTGCCGGGTCCCCGCGGGGAGGTGGGCAGCCCCGGCGTGGACGGGCTGCACGGTGAGAAGGGAGCTCAGGGCGAGTGCGCCGTTGCTCCTCGCTCCGCCTTCAGCGCCAAGCGCTCCGAGTCCCGCAGCCCTCCCCTGGCCGACCAGCCCATCCTCTTCGACGTGGTGCTCATCAACGAGCAGGGCCACTACGACCCGGCCACGGGCAAGTTCACCTGCGAGGTGCCCGGCCTCTATTACTTCGCCGTGCACGCCACCGTGTACCGCACCAGCCTGCAGTTCGACATCATCAAGAACGGCCACTCCATCGCCTCCTTCTTCCAGTACTACGGCAACTGGCCCAAGCCCGCCTCGCTCTCGGGGGGCACCCTGGTCCGCCTGGAGCCCGAGGACGAGGTGTGGGTGCAGGTGGGCGTGGGGGACTACATCGGCTTCTACGCCAGCGTCAAGACGGACAGCACCTTCACCGGCTTCCTCGTCTACTCCTACTGGCAAAACTCCGCCGTGTTCGCCTGAGCTCACCCTCGGCTGCGGGTGCGGCCCTTCCCGGAGAGCGGGACCCCTGCCCTGCTCGGGGCGCAGGAACGCTCCCTGTGCCAGGGCGGGGATGGCGGAGCACCCCTGGAGCAGCGCTGGGGCAGAGCTCGCTGTTATTTCGGGCACCCCCAGGGCAGGGCAAGCCGGGCTGAGCGGCCGGGAGCCCGGCCCGGGGGTGCTGCCCCATCCCTCCCCTCAATAAAGCGCTGCTCAGCTCCGCGTGTGCCGCCTGCCTGCTGCGCCCCGAGGGCGGAGGGGGCTCCGCAGCCCTGCCCGGGGGCTCCGGGCCGGGGCCACCGTGTCGGGCTGTCCCCGCAGGGCCAGCGAGAGCCGCTAGATGGTGGCATCGGCGTCCTTGAGCGGCGAGCGCGGCGCTGTGACCGCCCCCGGCACCTCCCGAGGCTCGGGAGCACCGCCGGGGTCCCCCCGGGGACCGAGTCCCGGCGGATCGAGGGTCCCCATGCTGTCAGGGCCACCCCGAGGGGAGCGGATTGCCCGGGGCGAGCAGAGCCACGGCTCCGGGGGTGGCCCTCGGTCCCCGGACGGGGCTGGCGGAGCCCCCCGCGCCCGCCCCCCGCCCCAGTGCGAAAGCGGTGACCCGCCGCTGGGAAAGGTCGCTATTTTTAGCAGGGGAATGAAGAGCTTCCTCATTCCTTGCCCAAAATAGGTCCCTGAGGGGACCAGCCGGGGAGGGGGCTCTTGGCCAGCGGCCGAACCCCTTAATGGGCTTGGGACGCTGCCCTGCCCGGCTGTAGGGCGCCAGCTGGGACCGGCCCTTCCCAGCCCAGGAACCGGGAACACAGCCGGACAGGCACCCCTGCCCTGCCCCGGATCCCCCATGTGTGCCGGATGCACCCCCAGGAGTGCA